GAAGCAACGAATGATCAATTTTTTTAGGGGTTTGATTTGTTGAAAAGTTCCGATTAAAAAAAGGTGTGGAATGCTGAAAATATTGAGTGAGCGATACTGCGATAGGACGTGAAACATTACTGGCAAGTGTTAAAAAAACATCTTCGGTAATTTTGGAATTATCTGAGGAGGACAGCCAAAATTATGAGAGGTCTATTCCAGTTAACATATAACACGTAATGATGATTTCTGATCACATTCTAAAAGATTTCAAAATTTTGAGATTGCTCGAAGTTGAGATCACATCGTCTTGTTTACTCGAGGACTTTCGCATCATCGTATTCATCAGAACCGTTTTGAAATTCTGAATTCGATTTGCTGGATCCAGATATTGATAGAGTGGTCTCATTGGTGGCGTTTGAAAGATTTGTTAGACTTTTTTGAGACGATAATTTTTGTGATGCTGATGTGGATGATGGTGATGGTTTTGTGGTATCACTTTGAGCATCAACATCTTTGGTTAGTAGCAATGGAGCCAGTATATGGATTAAGAATGAGCCGAGAGGTGCCGATATCAAAATGCTGAGCACTCCAACGGATAGAATCACTCGACCCTCCCACAAATGCTCTGCGTTTTGGTTCGATTCATGTTCAGCCATATCAAGCACTATTGGCGACAAAGCGGCCTGCAATCAATTGCATACAAACAGTTTGGAATTGTTCGAAGAGAAGGAGATGCGGAATGGACAAAGAANACCTGGACGGTTGCTTTGGGTATCCAAGCGAACGCAATGAAAATCTGTTCTTTCAGCTTAAATCCTGAACAAAATGTTGCACAAAAAGCAGCAAGCGTGCGAAATACTAAACCAATCGCTATTATTAAGATACCTTTAAATGCCAAAGAACCAATCTGAAATAAATTCAACTCGTCGAATAATGAAAGTTAATTGAAATTATCGTTTGAATCGTAAGAAATCACTTTATTGAATCTATTTCTATCACTGAATTTAAAGAATCATCTTTTTGGGTGAGGTACTGTAATATATACTATAACACTTACTTTCTTAATATGAAGCTCGTAACCAATCGACGTGAACAGTATGGGTTGTAGTGCAAAGTCCCATAACACCGCTAAGGTATCTTCTTCGATCACAGTGCCACCCTTCAAATAGCTTAATGTTGGTTTATGATTACACTGCATCAAGAACTAGAGCAGTGGTTCTCATAGGGGATGAAATTACCCATTTTTGGTAACTTGAAGATGTCAAGGGATAATGGAGGAGGTCGGAATGCTAGCATTTCTTGCAATTGTTATATTTTGACTTCCCATTTTCTGATTGTGAGTATCAGTCGCTCGTCCGGGTCTAACAGGGTTTTCATTCGTTTTAACATGGTTTTCATTCTTTTCCTTGCTGCTACAA